GCGCACACACAATGAAATATGTAAATCGACTTCGCACCACCACGCGATCATCAGCGGGACCGGAGTCGCTGCACATTTCGGGTTGTCATGCGCCTTGACACGTCTTGACTTTTGTTCGTCCGTATCGTTTTTCTGTTTCATCCGGTCATACATAATCGTTCGTATTTATGTGTAGTATCACTTGCGCACGACATCCATCATCACGTCACGCGTACGTCTCGCGCAGTGTGGGAGATTTTTTTTCAAAAACCTTTTATTATTATTATTATTATTATTGTTATTACTGTTATTATCGTTCCTCTGGTTTTCCATCCGGACGAGCGTTTTTCCGCGAACCGTTCCGTACAACCCGTATCACACGCTTACCGCGGTGCGACATTATAACGTTGAACGATAATAACTAAATCGGCGTTTCGCACCGATATCGGATCGTATAACGTACGGTGGACGCGCGCGTACACGTTTTTCGTATCGGCTGGAAAGAGACGGGTGTAGTGCGCACGACGTCGGCCGAACGGGGAGGGGGCGGAGCGAGGAGAGTGTCAAAACCGGAGGGAAAATCGTACGGGAGAGGGAACGGAAAAATAATGAAAAAAATAAAAGGTGTCCGAAGGTTCCAAGGACGATAACGCGTGCACGTCGATAATGGTACGTACAGCGTAACACGTATTTCTGTAGTCGCGTACGGCGTACCCCGTACGCCGGCCGTAACTAAATAGGACTGTGAAAATTCGTCTGGCGCCATAAGAGAGGCCCATGCTCCGTGTGTACGACACACATGCTCGTGTATGTGCTACGCATAGTAACACGTTCGCGTGCGCGTGCGTGCGCTATACGTGCGGACGGGAAAATGTCCGACACGCGTAAGACTCGACCGGAGGAGAAGTTATTAACTTTGGTAAATTATCCGCTCGGCCTTACACGTCCAGCGGTTCGAAACAGGTACTCGGTGGCGGTCGAACACCGTGGACAATATCGTTGTTACGTCACATTTTTTTTTTTTTTTTTTACACGCGCTGCCCGCGGACAAAAATAATTAATGCTATCGCGTTTCTCCGGCGGCACCGACGACGGACCGTAGTATTCTTGCGCGCAAGTTTACAACAACAACAATAATAATAATAATAATAATATATCGTGTGCGCGCGACCGCGGTGATAATGCGTGCGCGGAACAATGGAGCCGACCCGCGGTCGAGAGAAGTGTGTGTGTTTTACGCGCGCTCGCTCGTCGGTCGCCGCGAGGGAAACGTGTCCGAGCAACTGTGTGTGTCGTCGTGAATCGATATCGGAAAACATTATTGCCGTTGTCCGTCGAAAAGGGTTGCGCAGCACCTGACCGCCGACGACGCAATACTGCACGCAAGTGTTATTGCTAACGTCCGGCTGACGTGGTTCGATAACTCGTTTATCCGTTTACGATTTATCATCGTCGTTCAGGCCCTGTTATTTGCACGGTTTCGGACAGCACGCTCGATTTCACTGCTTTTAATGAAAATCTAGTCTCGCCACTGTCTTAGAAAAATGAAATGTATCACATACATAATGTACGTATTGTAGTATCAGGCGATTAAACGTTCGTGTCAAACGAAATATTAAATAAACTAAAATAAACGGGTATTCGTGTCTCAATAGGAAGTAGGTTATCGTAACACAACTAAAGTGCACGAAAAGATAGATGTAAAACAACTCGTTTACACTGTGTTCAAATCAGCGCGTAAGCGATATACGGTGTGATCGGGTTAAGCTAAATGTACATAAGAGAAAAGATAAAAACAATAAAGAGTCTTCGCGAGTGGACCACGTGTGATTCGACCACGACAGGATAATTACAATTCACGTTACTTTATTTCTACTGGTGTGTTCGAGTATATACGTACAATCCAATCGGCATGTACGACAATATATATGCATTAAATTTTAAGATATTCAATAACACTCATATTTCCTAGTAGTTGGCTTATTATTTGATTTTTTTTTTTTTTTTTTGTAGTATTTATTTATTTTACTACCGACATCGTACCTTTTCGCCGCGTGACCAAATGTACGATCAACAAACTCGTGTTTACGCCGCGGACGTTCGCTGTTCGCAGAAATAGACACTTGGACCGTATTGTAACCGGAGGCGAGTCTTAAAAAACGTTATTCTTTTCACCCGGAACCGGAGCCTACCGCGGTGATAACTCAATCGTAAGGAGTGTAAGACAAAAGAAAAAAAAACTTTTATTTTTAATTACCTTTCCAATTAAGAGTGTCTTATTTACATTTCACCCGTGCAGGATTGTGATTCGAGCACGAATACGAAAAAACAAAATCTAAGTCCCTGCATACCAAAAGTTACGATCGTGTTTATCGACATAAGAAATCGGAGCAGATAATATTTATAAACGTAGTAGGAATTACTAAACCAATACCAAAACAATACCGGACCAAAGAACACCTGGTGCACGCGCCTAACGCTCTGCATAAGTTGACGCAAACACGGAACCGTAATTTATTTAAAAAATAAAAATCACTAAATTTACAGTAAAAAAAAAAAAAAAAAAAATACACTATGATGTGAACGATTTTTATCCTGTTGACGTTAAAAATCGATCAGACACGAATAAGAGTTTTACGGTAAACGCTCGAATTCCTTATCCAAACAAACAATTTCTTTTTTTTTATTTCTAACGGGACTGTTAAAAATCGCACAAAACAAAAATTGGAACCACCCTCCAGAACAATATGCACCTTTTCGCATTAACGAAATGTGATGCTAAAGTAGCGTATCCCTCCTACATGAATGGGCGAACGTACGCGTGCACAATGATCCAGCCGTAGACCGAAATCGAGTGCACATCACGGGGGTTCCTTAGAATCAGTGACGTGACTCAATGATACGATGTATTATTATTATGTGTGTGTATACCACTTGAAATCCTCTATTCGTATATTATTATTAATTGTAGCGTTATGTTACGTCGTATAGAAATCTAAATGCCAACGATCCAGGCAGTTGTACCGTTTGTCCGCAGCCATTACCAATGCAATACGTGTGTGTGTGTGTATTATATAAGATTTTAAGGTGACATTATAATAATGATATACAGTTACCGTAATATAATATCACTTTGACGATGTATATGTTCGACAAACGATTGGCTCTCGAGATATTATTACTGCAGCACCGGGTTTTATAATATCATAATATTATTACGGTGTCGAAATCGACAATAAACCACGTTCGATAAACTCAGTTCGCCCGAACCACGTTTTTACCATGTTCAAATTAGTACAATGTATATTTATACATAAGTCTTTCCAATAATGGCTAAACGAAATTTTGCGATTACGGCCTTTTTCAAATTGTAGACAATAATTATATAATTTCCTGTCGTTATTCAAAATTATGATTTTATATTAATTCGCGTATTAATTGATTAGTTATGGTTTTTGCTTTAGATCATCGACTTAGAAATTTCATTTTGGTATAACTATAATATAAACACTTAACATATCGATACGGGTTTTTTTCTACTTCGAATAGGCTTCGAGAAGTATTTTTTACAAAATCGTAAATTACTACTGGTGTCTTAATATTATAAATATACTCGTAATATGCATGTGTTTACTTATATGAGCGATGATTAAATTTTAAATTACACCCAGAGTACATGGAACCGTGGTCTATATATTATTCACGTTATAATGTGTTTTTGTGCAATATAGTGAAAATAATTTCGTACCTGATATTATGTAACGTAGATTTTGAATGGCATTTATTTTCAAATACGTTTACTGTTCAATAATAAATTGTACTCGTATTGGATATTCGATCGGTTTTCATAAAATTTTAATAACGACCGCCCACAACGCTTTCAAAAACTTAAAAACTCCATGCGTAATAATACATCACTGAATACTTTTATCGAAACTCAATTACGGTTTTCGTTTCCTGACTACTTGTAGTTGAAATGAAAACAATTAATGTTTTTAGCGATTTCATATTTTATCGTGCCATACATTGTCTTTATTTAGAAAAACCAATCTAGTCCATATTGTTAGTTAATATTGTACATTTATTTTTTTTGATTGAAACGAAATGCATGTTAAATATTTAATTACAAATATTAATCTTACACCCCATGATATGAAAGTACAAAAAATTATAAAAGCTCATCAGAATAAAAAAAAAGTTGAATTAAATTCTATAAGAGATTTAATAGGTTCTGTTAACATAAACTAAAAAAGAAAACAACTTAGATATTTCTCAACTAAAATGATGAATACATGTATACATGTATAACATAATAATACATGTATAACTTACCGACTGTATACACCGAAATATTATACATTATTATTTATTAGCTAGGAAATAAAAATAAAAAGTAACAATTATAACATTTTTATTTTTATAATACAAAAACAAATTTATATATTTATTGGAAATAATTTGAACTTTAGTTAGTAATATGAGCCAAGAAATAAAATGTTCAAAAAACATTTGTTTAAATTTTGAAACACAATGGAATTCAGAAAGTAATTTTCCTGAATTAGAATAATAATAAAATAAATGTCTAATGCTATTAAGCGTGTTATAAATATAGTCGTACAAATCAACCAAGTAATGATTGTGTCACGGATACAAATGATTTTCAAAGCTTATTTTCAAAAGTAAATTATAACAATTTCTCATTTGTCATTCTTTAATATAAAAACTTTAATTCCGTCTACCCCATAAACCAAAAAAAAAAAAACTACTAATCGAGATTACTTGTAATTTACATAGTTCCTGGAGTATAAATGATATTATACTTTAACGGATATCTTTCTAATGTTTATCATTTTGACTTTTAATGTTGAAAGTTTTCTTAACTACATTTTTATTGATGCATATTCTATTTTTGAATATATCGTAAGAATATAAATTAATGAACAGTAAAAATAAATTAAAAAATTAAAAAAATAAATATTTCACATTTTTTTCAAAACCACTGAATCGATCTCATGGGATTCAGGAAATATGTATGTGTATTGCACTTTTTCCTGTTAGCCTTAGACCACTGCGCCGCGTAGGTGAACTCATAATCTGCAAACAACAATATTATTATTTTCTTTGTTTTGTGATTGTCTTATAATATACTGCATACACAGAAAGGAAAAAATAATTCATTTTTAATAAAATGCAGTTATAGTTGAGATATAAGTTTTAAACGCTAGAAAAAATAATATTCATCTTTTTGCATCCAACATCGGCTATAACCGATACTAGTAATATTATATTATTATTTTATTTTTGGTTATATTATACCGCTATAGCGAATATTAATACTAACGCATAAAATATGATCAAAAATAATATTGGTCATGATCAGATCACGAATAACTTGAATATCCATCGTTCCTAAACCCAAATCATGAAACCGTTTACATCTTAAAAGTTTTAATTTTTTTTTTAGTTTTTTAGTAAAAAATTTAAAAAAAAAACAGTGAACTAATGTAAAATCATTGACTGATTTATAGTTAACGTGAACGAAAAAACTAAAAACGATTTCGAAGAACAATATTCTACAATATTGTAACAATATATAATCAAAAGTATTTGTACAGATATTAATAATTCATGTTTATCGATGATTATTCGGTCGTCTGATGGATAATATTATTTATGATGGGCTAAGTCTGCGTGCCTATATACTTAACGGTTCTAATCGTCCTTGCTGTATATACGTGTAAACAGGGCTGGACTAGGCAAACGGGATACCGGGAGTGTCCCGGTGGGCCGCTTGTTTGGATTAGGCAACTTTTACTCGTTGGGAAGTTTTTTTTTTTTTAGGTTTATCGACTCATTGTTTTGACAGGCATAGATGCATTTTGTAATGCACTCGCATTAGAAACTGTCTCAAATTATATAAACGGTCCTATAGTTTTTAACAATAATAATAAGTTTTGAAATTCTCAAAATAATATACAATAATTTTATATGAAAATATACGGTTTTTTTTTTTTTTTTTTTTGGTTTTTTTTTTTTTTTTTTTTTTATTTGGGGGGTTTTTTTTTTTTTTTTTTACTCTCCTGGTAGATAATTAGATAATAATTTCTTACAACGAACGTTTCGTCGAGGATCGAAGTGATTGCGTTCGTCGAAGTCAACAACGATATGATATTATTTCGTACGAACGATGGGCCTGCATGCGGCACAAACGTATTGCGTTAGGTTAGACGTGTGTAAATCAAGGGGAAGGGGCTAATTTCGTCGTTTTATAGTCAGCTGCCAGTCGCACATAATATAGTACGAGCAACGCCTGTACACGTTTACGGACCATTATATCGTACGTTTATGAACGCACATAAATACGGGCTGTGATACGACACGACCATAAATATATACGTGTAATGTATACAATATGTATCCGCGCGTTTACGCAGAACGCTGGCATAATATAGCCCGGTCTCACAATGCTTGTATTATAATGCGCGTTTCCTCAAGACCGGTCGTCGGAGAACCGAAAAAAAAAATAAAAAAAAATAACATAATTTTTATTAATGGCTCACGTCGCGGGGGACGAAGGTTGCAGCAGCAGCAGCGATACTCACACACACGCGCATATGTGTATACACGGTTGTTCATGTTACGTATGTGTGCGTGTGCGAGGGGCGTAAAAGTCTCTGCGCGTTTCCATTAATCTCTGACCACGGTGGCCGATTATTTAAAAAATAATAAAAATACAAATTCTCGGTACGGCTGAATGAAATCGGCGGCGGCGGTGGATGAGAGGGACCTTCGCATTCCTTTGCGAGGGGGTGAAAAAAATATGTACATTATAGTGTATATATATATATATATATATATTTATTTTCTCCGCGAAGGCGCACCGCTGTCTGCTGTTACCACCCTCACACACACACACACACACACACTCACAAGCATGAACTACACACATACATCTCGGAGAAATCGCGGTTCCCTTTTATTTATTTATTTATTATTATTATTATTATTTTTTTTTTTTTTTTGATCGATAACGCTTTACCTTCTCTGCACCGCTTCATCACTGAACCGTATATATATATAAAGGTACACGTGTGTCTTACAGTATTTCGGTCTGTGAAACTGGATAAAAAGGGTCACACACACACACACACCCACGCACACGCATACGACAACCGCGGGATCCAGGTGCAAGTTGTCCCCCGCTGCACACACACGCACGAATTCTCCCTCGCATGCATATAAAGGCAGTACGCACCATAAGAAACGACGCCGCCACCGATATCGTTGCCAAAGGAGGGAAAAATAAAAATGAAATAAATTTCTACCTGCAGGGTAGGGGTTGTCCGGCCCGACAAAATACCTTCATTACACGCACGCACACATGCGATGGAAGATATATATCGGGGTAATGCGCGCGGGGGACGAGGACCAGTGGAGTGTAAGCGCGTAGCGAACGGAACGACGAGGGGTTAGACATTGCCAGCTGGCAGCAAAGCTGGCCTTGTGTGGGTGGGTGTGTGTGTGCGTGTGTGCGTGCTCGCGTAGAATATACCTTTTCTCACCGACCGCCTCCTCCGCCGCACCGCCGAGGCCACTGCCTCTCTCTACAAGCGATCCGCCCTATTGTTCCGCCGAACGCTTTGGGTTGACATTTCATTGAGAAAAATCTCGTAGTTGCCGGTCGCCGCCGCTGCTCCAATTCCGATACGATTCTCTTAAGAGCTTCCCCTCTGACAGCCGATTAGAATTTTTACCGTAGGCACCTATACATACGTATATATAGAAGGTATATTAAAAAAATAATAAAAAAGAAATAACCCTAATCACTCTCTCACACACACACACATATATATATATAAGTAAATTATATATTTTCGTAAGCTGGAAAAGGGGTTGACAAACACACACATACAGATTGAAGGAGATAGTGAACAATTTACCAAACTGGTTTCGACATCCCTGCATGCGAGTTCGTCCGATGGGATAGCTTCGTGTGAGCGCATATACGTGCATGTTAAGGGCGCACATGAGCAACATCAATCACGGGGGTCGCGTATCCCGTGCACGAGCACACGTAAGCCGAAGCCGCGTGCGAGAAATGTTCGTCGGCGTATAAATTCACAGCGGACGGCTGCTCCGTTCGTTTTACACGATGGGAAATCATTTTTTTCCTTTCCTATTCTTGGTTCTTCCTTTTTTTTTTTTTTTTTTTTTGTATTTCATTCCTCTCGTTTTTGCCTTCCACGGTCTGTCTACAAATAACGTAGGTGGCGTATATTATATAGGTTTTCTTCTACCTCTCACTCTCCTGTCGTTTCTCCGTCTCATACGTATCACACTGCCCCCTCGTTGCGTCCGCTTACAAACGATATCGCATTGTTCTTGCTCGTAAATCCATCGCTAATCGAGTTCGACGCCCGGAAGTCCTCGGGATTGTCTATACCGTGATTTGTAGATAAGGTATACGAAATGTCCCGTCGTCGAACACAACACAGACGTGTACGTATATTCCGCGCAGGAAAAAAAAATTACGTACGTATTATATACCTACGACCTGTAAAACGCACAATTATATTATGTGTACAACACTTTGTTCGACACGAAAACTGCGAGTTCGCAGCTTTGTTGATGTATGTTCGTCAAAACATAGATTGTTTTAATCAATATTTTATCGCGTGAAAGATATACGAAAACCGCGAGAAGACCTTTACATGCCCATACGCATACATATTTCAAACCACTATAATAACTTATCTATATACGAGTTATGAATAATATTTTGACTTTATTTTTATTTTTTTCGATTTGACATTTTTACAATATTTTATAATTTTTTTTTTACTGCAAACCGATATCTTTTAATGATGTTATATCCACATGGCTTTTGTACACAGTGTCACTCTCGTTACCGTGTTGCTGCCCGTCATTATAGTGCAATATTACAAACGTGAGGTTGTAGCCATGTCCCGCAGTACACTTTTTATTTGGTTAGCTCTGGTTTTCACGACACGCCAACGATTTTATCGATTTATCGTGAATCCGAATTGTAGTACTATACAATACACTTATGATTATCTTATTTATCTTTAAGTCTTATCATATCGAAATCCGCTTGATAAATTATATTTGTGCACACATTTTCTAGAGCCATTCTAAAAACCGTATAGAAATCACCTCAGTATAATTATTTATGGAAATCCAACTTTATATGTTTAAAATTTAACACGAGTAACGGTCGGTTACACTATTCGGACAATAGTGTCGTCAGTGCGGTTAGAATCTAAAATAATTTTCTTTTGATTATTATACATGTATTTCGCGGAGAGTATTTTTTCTGTTTATAACATGAAAATATTTCCGTTTTCGTATAGTAGAGGTCCGAGAAGTTAATTTAACCGGGACTATTGATATTATCTGTTTTATGGAGGTTTCCATCTTTTAGTGGGTCCAGCATAAAGATGTTTTACTGTACTAAACTATAAATAAGTATATGTAAATAATAAATATATAATTTTATAAAAATTATACAAACCAATGACGTAATTTGGTGAAGTATCAACTGGGGTGAATACCCTAGTCTAGTATTAACTTCAACCTATAGTCGGCACACCTAAAACATGTAAGGAGTTTTATTTTTAAGTTATCTGCATTATTTAATTTATAATTATTGTTTTTATCCAATTACCATAAAAAAGTATTAATTTTCCGATTTGACTAGAACCAAAAAGACTTAGTACCCGGTCATTTTAGTGGCCTCATGACATTTAATAATTTACAAGCCTATAGTTTTGATTTTATAATCAAATAAAATTTGTCCCCTATCATGTAAAAAATAATTTGATATTTTATTATGTTTAGTAGACACGTACATTGTATAATAATAATTATACCACGGATTATATGCAGTGTAAACACTTTGATGTATGTATATAGATATGCAGCTTAAAATATTGAACTATGCCTAAGTTATGTTAAAATATGCACTTAAAAAAGAAATACGACAAATGTATTATGATGAAAAATAAACATTATTGTTGCGTACATTATATTTTAAATATTTATTTAAAAGTGAAGTTGGCGTAGCAGTAAATTACTACTAGATGACGGTCCACGTGATTCATTGTAAGACTATGACGATTTTCATCCAAAATGCAGAAAACCTCAAAAGACAGTTTTTAACTTACAATAAGCCGTGTTACTCGTCATTGTATTGGGCAGTGCGGTACTCGTGCCGTCCATGTAAACGTCAATCATACTTAGGAAATCATAGCCCGGTTATATTGTTCAGCGGTCGAGTATCGTTTGTTCTGATAATACATCGGGCAGTTCGGATGCTGTTGTCAACTATTCCTACATGACTTGTGGATGAATTGTATAAAATGTGAATTCCTCGCTTCTAACGGATGTGTTTTTCTGCACATTCAATCTATGTGTTTACACGTATAAATAAGCATTTACATCAGCGAATCAGTGAAATATGTATACCTGGCAAACGTGCATCATCCATGGTCTAATAAGGATAGATGAGTAAACAATAGTGTGTTTGTTGACGCTTTGACGACAACTCGTACTAATAGGAAAAATGTTTTTGCACAAGTTACTTGAAACGGAGAAATGTGTCGTACGAGTACGAGTGCGTCCGAGAAAATTCTAGGCCAGAAACGTAAATAAGTGGTGATTTTTGAGGGGGAAGCGTCAGAACAATTGGCACTTGAATAATAAATGTGCAACAAAGTGGTGTTCACCGTAAGTGTATCTCGATTCGAGGGATCACCACTATACGGTCTTTGGGGGGGGGGGGGAACGGGGGGGAGGGGTGGCGATTTTTCCTAGGGTTCTCCCTGAAGTACGTGGCTGGGCCTCGGATCTCGCGAAACCCGACGTGAAGAACCGCTACGCTATTATTTTGACGGCAATTCCGAACTCGACGGCGGCGTTTCAAGACCGCGTGTTGCGCACTGTCGTCGACGGTCGCATTATCGTCCGCGTCTTTTGTGATCATCGTTACTATCGTGAAAAACTGTTGCGCGCGCAGTTATCGATATCGTTAAATATCGTACGCGGGCGCGCTGACGGTAAGCACCGCGCCTCGAGTACGCGTATCGAAACAAAACGCGTTCGACATAATAGGCGCTGCGCTCTCGCGTCAACAATGCCGAGAAACAAAAACCAAACATACTGAGATTGTTGTTCGTGCGTGCGTTACGTTATAAGTCGAGTCGGGTGGTTTTTCGTACGATGTACGGGACAAAATGATCCGGTGGTTTTCGAATCGAAACCAAAAGCGTGTTTGGTTTGGCAAACAAAACGAACCGTGATCGGGCACGCGTCCACCGTTTCGATGCTCTCCGACAATATAACGTTACGTAATGTGCATCGAACGTGCGTACGATCGAACAAGGTGCGACGTTCATTACTTGTGCACCAGAATCGACGTTCGAACGGGGAGAACGTTGAACAGTGTATCTCGTCAATAACTTTGCACGACGAACGCGTTTGCGCGAACAATTCCGAACGATTATTACATTCTGCGTTTGCCACGCGTGTGTTACGATCGTAAACGCGTCGGGCGAGAGTGGAAACTTCGGGACTGGAACCCGTTACGGATGGTCGAAAAAAAAAATTCACATCATAATATGATATAATATGAACTGTTCGTAACGAATAACGAAACGGAGGGAAGGGAAAACAACCGTCTGAAAAATCATCGACCTATGTCCGCGATTTCTTCGGATTATTACACGCGGTGCGACCGTTTCGAGTGCACGTAGTTTCAATTGTTTTCGCAGTCGTCCTGTATTGTACACATATTATGTATCGCACGCTACAGTCCCGTATACGTGGAAAATCGTTTATTTACTTATCAAGTGCATCGAAGGAACGGTTAAAAATCCGACGAAAAAACTAATTCGAGGAACCGATCACAATGTGTCACAGTGTATCGCGTAAAAATTAAATGTTTTTTTAAAATATAACACAATAGGTACATACATCATATGTCAGTTGATACGTACAACGTGTGATGGCGTGAAACGGAGAAAGCATCAGTTACGTGTGATCATTTAACTGCTATTATCAATGTGATTATGACGTTGAGGGCGGATAGCTAAAAATAAATTGCTATATAATATATGCAGCGAATACGGGATGTTGGCCGTCAAAGGTAGAAAATACGATCGGACTCGATATTAAGATATGTATACGTAGATTACACAGGGACGTGTGTATGAGATCTTGCGGAAGACTTTACGTAGTACACATTTCAGCGATTCGGAATTCGGTACCCACACAGGCACACCGGTTTATGTGCTCGTGTTACACATATAGTTTATGCGTTTTTATTTGTTATGCCCGTGTCGAGGAGAAGTAATTTAAAAACGAAAAGCCTGAAAAAAAGATTCTGGCGCCCGAAACGAGTGTAGTATACGCGGATAAAAGCGAGAATCCTTCGTCTGTACACATTCATGTATTACAAACGGAAGGAGGATAGAAATGCATACACCGAACTGCACACTGCGATTACATACAACGCGTGTATACGTAATGCACTTCAACGATCGTTAATGCCATTAAAATCACAATACTCGACGTTAAGAAAGTACACACGGAGTAATGTGTACGTATATAGCACTTACTTTTGGATGTTTATACTGTACAACTGTACGGATACATTTGTATTGTACTTCAATGTTTTTGATTCCCCCCCCCCTTCGACTTCTCTTATTGCTTTGGTACAACCCATTTGGTCCGAGCATACGAATTAAATTTTACGCGAACCAATTATTATTTCCGTGTTGGTTCGCTGTTCTTATCGTTATTTGTCTGGCCCGCGAACACATTTGCGATCGGTAAATATTTTCCAACGAGGTATATTACACGGCGGACGAAATAAATGAAATCCGAACGCGTACGCGTGGAGGGAAATCATTCGGTTTCCCGAGCAGAAGGCGAACGACGGGAAACGACCTGCCTGGATACCTGACGGTCGAATGCCGTGCAGCAAGTGTTGACGGAGAACAATAGCAATATTAAACGTCACGTGTTGGGTGTTTTAAGTATGATTTTCGTTAGTGCGTTCGTCGCGCCGACGCGTTGTTATCGGCGCACTATTATTTTTGCCCGGATCGACGCGACGCCCGAGTAGAACCGAAAAACTAAAAGGCAACAATAATAATCATAAATAAACGTTTAACGACACGACATTTTTTTTTTTTTTCCGCTC